CATCACACTGCAAGAAGAGCTGTTTGTAGGAGGGCAGGAAGTTACAGACATTCTGGACGGCTTCGTAATTGGTAGGCTAGGAAACAAGGGGGCTGGCAAAGGATTCGAGAAATGCACCCCAACCTGCAGATCCCCAAAACAGAAGAAAGTCAGCGTAGGGCACATTCACACCATATGTTTAAAGCCCTATGATACCACTTTAAAAGGCTATGGCTTCCCCCAAAGAATTATGGGAGCCGCAGTTTGTTAAGGGTGCTGTGGGCTGTTAGGAGACCCTGGCTGGATCTACACACATCAAATAAGTGTTTCGGTTAAGCCCGTTGTAAATTTAAACAGGGAAATCCAGTAGGGGGAAATGGGATTCCACAGCGCCATCTGGTGGCACAATGTTATATTGCATACACAACACATATAAATTGCTTTTTCTACACCAATCTAGCAGAGTCCCCTTATTCCCCTCACACAGCTGCAATTCCCAGAGTTCCCTATAAAGAGGGATTGTCTGTAGCTCTAGGAGAGGAATAAGAGTTGTTAGAACTCTCAGCACCCTTAACAAACTACAGTTCCCAGGATTCTTTGGGGGAAACCATGGCTGCTCAAAGTGGTATCACAGTACATTAAATGTATGGCGTGAGCATGGTCATACACACTCATTCTCATCACCTTTATCTTCAAAGCACTCCATCATTGCCATCATTCTCCCACCTACCCCACTACAAAAAAATATAAATAAATCCCCTCTAGCACCATGAACAATGCAAAAGCCTGGCCCTGAGAATATTTTTCAGACTCCTTTCTTTCCACTTTCTATTCCAAGACAGAAAGTTATTCAAGTGGGCAGTTAATATCTCACCAACTTTTCATCACATTTAACATTCAAGCATTGCATTTGTTTCAATAGAGCCTTGTCATCTGAACTGACCTTCACAGCTCCCATTATTTCAGATAAGGTCTCATTGTTTTCTATGGGAATTCTTGCACTTGGTTTTAGCATGTCCGCTCTGCGGTTCTCTGGACAATACATGCGGGGAGGGGTGGTGGTAATGTAATTATTGAGAAGGCGCACGTGATGGCAAAGGGACTCATGCCCTCATGATGAAGAAAAAAGCAGTGCAATGTGGAAAGGACCTTTCCATGGGAGGGAAGCTTGAATTTACTGGTAGGACTAGTGGGGAATCTCCTCCTACTAAAGCTCTGCCCTTTCAATTTCAATCCACATTTGTTTATTCCATGCTCAGGCACAACTCACAGGATGCAGAAAATGTGCCTGCTTGCCATTCATCTCACCACAAGGGGGCATAATCAGGAAAACAGCACTGCCATGTGAACCTAACAAATCACTTTGTGGTCATTGCATGGGAAAAATCTGTGCGTAGATGGGGCCAAAGTGGTGGCAGATTGCTGATGCAACATTTAAGCGAGCCCTGAACTGTTTTAATGAAAGCCGAGTGTTCTCTCTGCTTGTTTTGAGCTTCCGATTTCCACTTGGACCATTCTAGGGGTGCGCTGCGAGTTATTTGCTCAGCATTTTCTGGTTCAGCAGCCTTTACACTGCAAGACCATGTTTATTTGTTTTCTCCTCTGGGGACAAAGCTGCATGTGGCTGCACAAATTCGGCGGGCCTAGTAAAAATAACAACGTTGGCCTCTCTTCTCACGAGCACCAAAAATCTGGGCTCCGGCAGCAAAGATCCGTCCTGCATTGTTGCCGATCCTCAAACATTTTCACCGTGGATATAAACATTTCCCCTCCTGTTTTTCCTATGAGGAAAGGTTGCAGCATGTGGGATTTTTAGATTAAAGGCTGCAAGGATACTCCTGGCTCAAAAATGGAAACAGCAGGAGCTCCCAACACTGGAAGATTGGCAGGTTAAGATGGTGGAGTACGTAGAGATGGCCAAGTACGTAGAGATGGACGGGGAAGATCCACAATCAGTGTGACAAATTGTTTCAAAAGGACTGGAACAAATTTATACTTTATATGAAAGAAATTTGTAAACGTCTGAAAACGTTTGTAGGTTTGAACTGAAATGTTTTGTAATGTAAACATAAGGAACTGATTTACCGATAACAAGGTGAGATATTATAATAAGATAGAAGGTAAACATGTGATTATAGAAATGCGGAGAATATAGAAAGGTGTGTGAAAGTCAGAAAGAGGGAGGGAAGGAGGTCGATGCTCTTATAGAGTAATGTATTAAGTTATAGAATTATGTAACAAAATGTGATTATGATAAAAGTGAAAAATTTAATAAAAATCATTTAAAAAATAAAGGCGACTTGAGGGGTGACATGACCGAAATTATGCATGGTATGGAGAAAGAAGACAGACAAAACCGTCTCACCGTCTCTCCCTCTCTAGTAACACCAGAACTCCTGGGCATCCAGTGAAGCTGAATGTTGGAAGGTTTGCGAAAGGTAAATGAAAGTCCTTATGCACACAGCACATAGTTGAACTATGGAACTCACACCCACAGGAGGCAATGCTGGCCACCAACATGGGTGGGTTTAAAAGAGGATTGCACAAATTTATGTCAAAGAGCCACGGTGGCTATGCTCTGCCTCCAGAGTCAGAGGCATTAATAATAGTAATAGTAATAGTAATAATTTATTATTTATACCTCGCCCATCTGGCTGGGCTTCCCCAGCCACTCTGGGCGGCTGCCAACAAGATATTAAAATACCGTAATGCATCAAACATTAAAAGCATCCCTAAACAGGGCTGCCTTCAGATGTCTTCTAAAAGTCTGGTAGTTGTTGTTCTCTTTGACATCTGGTAGGAGGGCGTTTCACAGGGAGGGCGCCACTACCGACAAGGCCCTCTGTCTGGTTCCCTGTAACTTGGCTTCTCGAAGCGAGGGAACCGCCAGAAGGCCCTCGGCGCTGGACCTCAGTGTCCGGGTAGAATGATGGGGGTGGAGACGTTCCTTCAGGTATACTGGGCCGAGGCCATTTAGGGCTATAAAGGTCAGCACCAACACTTTGAATTGTGCTCGGAAATGTACTGGGAGCCAATGTAGGTCTTTCAAGACCAGTGTTATGTGGTCTTGGCGGCTGCTCCCAGTCACCAGTCTAGCTGCCGCATTCTGGATTAGTTGTAGTTTCCAGGTCACCTTCAAAGGTAGCCCCCCATAGAGTGCATTGCAGCAGTCCAAGCGGAAGATAACCAGACCATGCACCACTCTGGCGAGGCAGTCCACAGGCAGGTAGGGTCTCAGCCTGCATACCAAATGGAGCTGGTAAACAGCTGCCCTGGACACGGATTTGACCTGTGCCTCTATGGACAGCTGTGAGTCCAAAATGACTCCCAGGCTGAGCACCTGGTCCTTCAGGGGCACAGTTACTCCATTCAGGACCAGGGAGTCCTTCAGACCTGCCCGCCTCCTGTCCCCAAAAACAGTACTTCTGTCTTGTCAGGATTCAACCTCAATCTGTTAGCCACCATCCATCCATTAATGCTTCTGAATATCACTAGCAAACCACAGAAGGGGAGAGTGTTCTTGTGCTTGGGTCCTGCTTGGGGGGTTCCCAGAGACATCTGGTTGGCCACTGTTAGAACAGGATGCTGGACTAGCAGGCTCTTCTTATGTTCTTATTTGTTTCACCACCAATTCCCTGCAGGAGAGGATTTGTGCCTCTTTTATAAACTTATCTTGGACCATCGGAACTTGCTCCATCAAGTTTGTGTGTGTATGGATACAGCAGGACTGAATGGCCACGAACTGCAAGAGATTCAGCAAAGCTGAAAATGTATACAAGCTACCGTAAGCATATTGACCATTCATTGCATCAGGAAGGAGGCGATAACACAATCTTCCTAACTAGAAGTCCTGTGACATCTTTGTTTAAGGGCCACTTGCATGAGAAGCTGCAAGAATTCCTCGGGGCTGCCCTCTGCATGACTGAACAGCTCTGGGAGCGCCATTTGATCAAAGCTTGTGGTGCAGTTTTAAACAGCTGCAAGCGGTGAGAATTCACTCATCAGCTGAAATAATGCTCACACGTATGAGAAGTGGGCAGAAGGGAAAGCAAGGGGCCTGAACTGGAGGGAAACTCTCTGCCGATATCCCCTACACTTTCACTGAACCAATTCGACACCTGGAAAGGACGGCAAAGCTCAAGCACTGCTGCAAAGTCACCCCAAAACTGCTAGCAGACACACCAGTGCTAATGTTCATGTTTAGGAGTTGCCCTATCAGCCCCAAACACCAGAATATTATGACGCTTGCAGCACACCAGCATCGCTGGAATGCAACACTAATAATTATCCTCCTACATTATTTATTTGCTGGGGTATCAAGGCCTTTTCAGTGCTCATTGACTGAAACATAAGCAAAGACTAGCAGTGCTAGATTAAGACTCATTTCACAAACGGTTGATGAGTAGGGGTACATATCTTGCTTCCCCACCCCATACACAGTAGAGGTTCATGCTCAGTGAAGGAAGAGAGTAAGGGGGCAGGAAGAGACACCATCAGGGCCTGGGCCTGTCAGACTGTCCTGTCCTTCCCCCATAGGGCCAACGGACACCACCTGCCCTGTCAGAAGGAAGATGGGAGGGCTGGGAGAGTGGGTTGTTTGTCTTTTATTTTTATCTGCTAGTGAGCGGATGAGAGAACTGTAAAACTGTAAGCTGCCTTGGCAAAAAGGGAGCATATTAATTCCCTAAATATGCCAAGTGGGGATACCATAATAGCTCTTGGGCACTATTTCCTAAAGTACAAGCAAGCAGTCTATATGCAGTGGCAAAAGGCTCCATAGGGAAGAGAACAGCGGAACTCATTCCTGTAGCATACAGTCAAACAGTACAAGAACTGGGATGTTACTATTGATATATTTTTTTTAAAAAAAAAACACAAACCACCATATTCCTTTACCTTTCCCATTTCAGCTCTTCAGGAACTAGGACCGGCATAGGAACTAACAAGTGCTAAAGAACTTTGAAGTGCATTAGTTAAGTCAGTGTGGTGTATTGGTTATAGCACTGTTTCCCAAACTTGGGTCCCCAGCTGTTGTTGGACTACAACCCCCATCATTCCTAGCTAGCAGGACCAGTGGTCGGGGATAATGGGAATTGTAGTCCAGCAATAGCTGGGGACCCAAGTTTGAAAAGCACTGGGTTAGAGTGACCTGAGAGACCAGAGTTCAGATCCACACTCAACCAAAAAGCTCACTATGTGACTTTGGACCAGTCACTGCCTCTCAGTCTAACCTGCCTGACAGGGTTGTTATGTGGATTAAATAAGGGGGGAAACCATACTCACCACCTTGAGTGCCTTGGAGAAAAGGTGGTTTAAAGGTAAAGGGACCCCTGACCATTAGGTCCAATCGTGACTGATTCTGGGGTTGCGGCGCTCAGCTTCCAGGTTGTGTGACCAGCATGACTAAGCCACTTCTGGCGAACCAGAGCAGCGCACGGAAACGCCATTTACCTTCCCTCTGGAGTGGTACCTATTTATCTACTTGCACTGTGAGGCGCTTCCGAACTGCTAGGTTGGCAGGAGCAGGGACCGAGCAATGGGAGCTCACCCCATTGCAGAGATTCGAACCGCCGACCTTCTGATCAGCAAGTCCTAGGCTCTGTGGTTTAATCCGCAGCATCACCCGCGTCCCTAAAAGGTGGTTTTTAAATGCAATAAATAAAATAAACTATATCAGGCATAGGCAAACTCAGCCCTCCAGATATTTTGGCACTACAACTCCTATCATCCCTAGCTAACAGGACCAGTGGTCAGGGATGATGGGAATTGTAGTCTCAAAAAACATGTGGAGGGCCGAGTTTGCCTATGCCTGAACTATATGAATGGGCTACTTTAAAACATACCATGAGGGAAGAAGAGGGGTGGGGTGCAAGAATCCCCTTCTGTACCTTCAATCATGTGTCTACTGAAGGAGTGGAGAAGAGGCTGGGATCGTGCCTCAGGACCTTGTCCATGACCTCAACCTCCTCACACCCTCCATGAAGGATGAAAGGAGCATCTATGCACGTACAGATTCATGTAGCCTCTTCCCTGTGACTGGGAACCTGATTGTGCAGATTTATATCTCAGAGCTGACCTCTAATATGCATATATTACACGCACATCACACACACACACTTCAGGCTCTGCATACATTATCATCCTTTTATAAAAGGATGCCACACTCACTAAATCTGGCCCTTCAGAATCCAAAACAAAAGCGATTTTATTCTCTTGGGATGCCACCTTAGCACACATGACGAACATCAAATTCAAATCAAATTTATTAACAGGGCAACCAAATGCTAATTGCAGCCAAACAGAACCATATGGACATAAACCATATGCAAGGATTATACATAAAAATAAAAACTCGCCCTATACAACAAATAAAACACGTTTATGCATCTAAAATCTTGAGAGAAGCCATATGGCCTTGTCTAAGTTGAGCAGACTTCACTGCAAATTTCAGTGTAATAAACATTACAGACCTGTCCAAACCAAATAACAGATATTTAATATTATGTGAATAATTGAGGTCAGCAACCACTGCTGAAGATTTGTCTAAATATCTGTTTTATACAGTTTGCATATAATGTACGGCGTTCTCTACTCAGGGGCTACCACATATGCCAAAAGGGCCGATCTCTGGCAATTTTCTTAAATCTCCCTTCCTTCTGAGTGGTGTAGTGGTTAAGAGCGGTAGGCTCGTAATCTGGTGAACCGGGTTCGCTTCCCCGCTCCTCCACATGCAGCTGCTGGGTGACCTTGGGCTAGTCACACTTCTCTGAAGTCTCTCAGCCCCACTCACCTCACAGAGTGTTTGTTGTGGGGGAGGAAGGGAAAGGAGAATGTTAGCCGCTTTGAGACTCCTTCGGGTAGTGATAAAGTAGGATATCAAATCCAAATCCAAACCTTCCCCCATGTCCAGTTTGCCCCTGTTCATATTGGAGGCAGAGCTTTAAGTGGCTGGAAGCACCCATAAGGCCTCAGTCCACCTCCAGCTAGTACTGAAGTAAGTTCCTTGCTTGGAACTTTCCATGGTGCTTTTTTGCCTACTAAACCCTTCCTCAACCCCACTGGAAATCAGGGATGATGAACCTGTGGCCCTAGCTCCCATCATCCCTCACCAGCTTGACCAGTGTCAATGATGGGAGTTGTAGTTCAACATCTGAAGAGTCACCTGATGTCCACTCATGTTCCTAAGTGTTTTCCCAGGCTCTCAAATTAACACAAGGTGGTTCTCAAAGAAGATGTTAACCACTCCCTGGGGGCAGTTAGAAACTCAGATATACAGTCGTACCTTGGTTTTCGAACAGCCTAGTTCTCAAACGGTTTGGCTCCCGAATGATCGAAACCCAGAAGTGTCAGTTCCGGTTTTTTAACGTTCTTTTGGAAGCCAAACGTTCGATGAGGCTTCCGCGGCTTCCGATTGGCTGCAGGAGCTTTGGAAGTCAAACGGACTTCCAGAACAAATTCCATTCGACTTCCAAGGTACAACTGTATAAGCTAGGGGCCAACTGTCTCCTTTAACCAAGGTTACAGTTGCCAAAATGGAATGTCTAGTTGCCATTTTGGGGCAAAACAGCTCTGAAGTCCTATTTTTCAAACGATGTACTAACTGTGATTGATTATCAGTTACAGATCTGCCTAGTTCATGTGACAACCTTGAGCTAGGTTAAGAACTTTGAGAACTTAAAGAAGAAAAGTCACTTCATCCAGGAACAGTCCACATATATATTAGCCTATTCCTACCTCTTTTTCTTAATGGTGATACGGATCATTCATAATAATTTAAGAATATTCTTCACAACTGTGAGCAGGGCAGTAGGATTGGGTAAGTGAAGACAAGCTTCAACAATTAGCTATAGCGTTGTTCATTGCTCCTGCACAGAAAAAGCATTTTGGTTCCTGAAATTCATTCTGTTTGTGCAGATAAAATATAACTGATAAAATTCTACAGGATGTGGTATTAGTGTGTGAAAACATTCAAGTTCCAATGATGCCTAGGCATGCATCTCTAGATGGTGGAGATGTCAGGCACAAGCCTGGCCAATAGGTGCAAAATGTTCCTGGCACTTGGCTAATTTCAAACACTGCCCAGGGTGGGTGGGGGGGTAATGGGATCACCTAGGGGGAGCTAAGAGGCAAATGGGTGGCAGTTGGCTGCTGGGCGTATAAATGACTATTAGACTTTGAAAAGCTGGTATCACTGGATAAAATTCATCAGTTTTGTGGAATTAATTAATGTAAATAGTTTTAACTGAATTTTGAATAAATGTACAATTAATTGTTACAGTTCTGAATTTTATTGTGCTATTATCTTCCTTAGTGGATCATTCAAACAACTATCCCGAATAATGCTTTTTATACAGTAGGGGGACAGAGGGGATGAGCATATGGAACCAAGCAGGCTGTGTGGCCTGAAAAAAGTTGAGAACTACTGAATTAACACAGTGTTCATTTGGTTTAAAGCTTGACATGCCACTTTTCAGCTTTCTGCTTTTGAGGTCCGTCACAGCAATAAAGGTAAAGGAACTACGATATGTAAGAAGAAGCAGAATCAATGTCCGGATTTCAAATGCCTTACCTGGCACCTGATCGCTCATAGTGATGGCCCAAGGCATTCCACATACAGAAAGGATCTTTCCCCCAGGTACTTACCCACCTGTGTTAAGAGCCTCAAAAGATTATCTTGGATAATATGAGCTCAGTACATCAAGCAAATTTGGCAACTGGATAACTTTCGGCCTCTTTACGTCACGGACATGGCATCAAGAAGTGTTGGGGGGACAATCAACGACACTGGTCACTGTTTTGTTTAAAAGGTGATGGAAAGCGAAACCTCATGGCTGAAAGGAGAGCCTTACCTGAGCTCCAACTGCCACAGTCCAACTGAAAGGAGCCTCACTCCCCACAAACAGAAAGGAACCCTCAGCAGCCACTTGGGCTACGCTTTCCACAAGATTCCTTGCACAGGAAAGGTCAATCACATCCGTCAAATAACCAAAAAGCTGAAGTGCAGAGCTGTCAGTTTTCTCAAGGAGGAATTCACTGCCTCCCCTAAGAAGGTCATTGTTACCCAGTGTACAGTACAATTTACCCTTCCTGCTAATAATGCTTACCCAAAACACTCAAACACAAACACCTGCCAGCAGTGATCTAATTACAGAGAGTTAAGGTCTAATTTCAATATGAGCTCCTCAACCTTTTCTCCCAAAATTCTATGATTATTACTATTGACAGGGTTTCAAGGAGGCTTACAGATAAAACAGGAACAGCTGAAAACGTAGGGAAGGACCACTAAGAAACAATTAAACATTAATAGAATTAAAACTATGTATAAATATAAAAGATCTAATTACACTCTGGATACTGAATCATGATTCACACACATCAGTTGTGCTAAAGAAAGCCAGGAGTTAGCATCGTGACTAGCAGAAGAGACCTGAAATCTAATATTTAATTTAACCCTTTCCCAACTATGCAAAACCAAAGGGATTCTTCCCATGAGATTCCCGTCTCTAAAGATTTGTACCAACGGTTTTCAAATGATCAAACAAAACTTGGAGTATACTTTAATATAAAACAGTCATGGAATAAGCATTTTAAATAAATAAAACTAGCTGGTAGCTGGAATCCAAGTTCCTTGTGGATAAAACGATGATTACTATCTGTGGATACCTCAACAGCGCAAGCCATCAAATTCCAAATCTATTGGTATTCTTTTCAAGCAGGAACTTGGGAGTTCCATGATGATGATGATGATGATGATGATGAAATCTGCATACCACCCTATACCCATAGATATTAGGGTGGTTCACAATATTTACCATTCAAAAAATCCTATGCAGTCAAATGAACAACCAACATTACGAGGAATATAATCAATAGCAGATTTCTAATACCATAAGAAAAAAAATGCTGTGAAGATTAGTAAATTGTTTTAACAGTCCCATGTAGTAACCCACCCCACACGTAAGAATAGCCTGTTGGATCAGGCCAATGGCCCATCTAGTCCAACACCCTGTTCTCACAATGGCCAGCCAGTTGGACACCTACAAGCAGGATTCAGGCACCAGAGCACTCTCCCCTTCTGTGGCTCCCAGAATGTGGTATTCAGAAGCATTATTGCTCT